TCGACTTTAAATCGACATTTTTCCACACACGCGCAGGAGTCGCTTTGACAGGAAGATTGGTCGAGTCTGTGCGGCAGCGGTTAGTTTTGGTCAGAACTCGTATACGCAGACAGGCCAACCGGTGAGTTTTTCTCACGTTCCAAGTCACGGAATTGGGGCAAATAAAATCTAGGACAAGAATAAAAAAAATATATAATTCATAAATAATAATAATAATAATAATAATAATGCAGAAAGCTGTACTCCTCGCGACGTCCAGATGTGTACGAAAATTTTTGGGAGATACTCCAACATACCAAGTCACCTAGGGCTCGATAACACGGAAAGAGTCCCACCAGAGCTCAATCCTTTTGATACCGTAGGTATCTGGGATGAGTGAATTTTCCCCTTAGAGGGAGTGTGAGCCGTATGGCTAAATCTGGATAATAATAATAACCTAACCTAACCTGTGGGAGTTTTTTATCAGTTCTATCAAGCGCGGCCCCCTGCGAATGGGGGATGCTCTCTGGGTATTCTTAGAACCGATACCCAGAGGGTAACAGGAATACCTGTCGTGGAACAAAAACTGACACCTGGCAGTAGGTATAAAATACACACCCATGAAAATGGAGACTAATAATTATTTATGTTTAGGGTCGCTGCCTGGGGATCGCCAGGGCACGTCTGGAGCCGGCGCTGGACGTGACAGCATGCGGGACGTCGGTGGCAGGGTGTTGAGGAGGCGGGCCCCTGTCATACAATCAGCTACAGGCCAACAACAACAACAACCACAAGTGAGCCAAACAACAACAAGAGCTCCACTCGCTGAAGGTGCTGCGCTGGAACATCAGCCGGTGCTCACACAAGCGGGACGACCGAGGCAGCGCATGAAATGGACTATGTCTATAAATGAAAACATTTTGCGCTTCTATTACAAGGTGACGAACCTCGGTCGAGAAACTATCGGCTATAGACAACAACTGTATGCCGAATTTTGCAGGGAGTATCCAGAGATTGAAGTATCTGAACAGCGAATAGCAGATCAATACCGAGTAATTATAAGAAATAATCTTATCCCAGAGGCTAGACGCGCTACCATTAGAAGCGAAGTCGAACGGGAGATTCATAACCAAGAGCTAGTTGTGGATCAAGACCATAATGAAATCCCAAATGAGCAGATTCCTGAGCCCCTTATACAAGACACTCAACCTGTTAATACCCAGCAGGACAACAACGAGTTGCACAATAGCCTGGTAAGAGAAATGGCACGTGCCATACAAGAGTTTAATGGTACAAACCCACTTAGCAGACCACCGCTACCAAAACTAAACTCTTGTAAGAAACTAGGTGCGCTGTTACAAATTATGAACACTGAAGTCCTACCCAATTATATCGTGGAAGCACATACATTAGAATATTTGCATATGCTGATTTACTGTGCAGCAACAGCAATTGCTAATGTTATGGGCATTAAGATCAGAACACGACGGGGAACTAATATCGGAAGGACTGAAAACAGAATTGCACCCTGGGAAAAAAGACTGCTGAGGAAAATTGAATTATTGCGCAGGGATATTGGGCAAATTACGGAATACATCCGAGGAGTAAGAAGTCAAAAACTAATTAAAAGAGCTGAAGAAATTATTCTGAACACTTCAAGACACTCAAAACATGATCCAGAAAACAACACTGCCTAGACACATTAAAACAAAAACTCTCCGTTTATTCAGGTCGCTTGAGGAGATACAAAGTTAGTAACAACCGTAAATGCGACAATATACTTTTTGAGAATTCAGAGAAGGCTTTCTATAGGAAACTAAATTCCACTGTAGAAAATGTAAATAAATCCTACCCAAGCCAAGAAGAAATTAATGAGTTTTGGGGAAATCAACTTTCGACGCCAGCTATCCATAACAACAAAGCTGGATGGATTGAAGACACGGCGAACAATTGTCAACACTATAGGAATATTCCTTATGAACCTTTTACCACTGAAGAAGTCTTGAACATCATCAAAGAGCTTCATAACTGGAAATCTCCTGGACCAGACGGAGTTCAAAACTTCTGGTTAAAGAAGTTTTGGAGTGTTCATGAGCTTTTAACAGTATTTATTAATAATATTATTTCTAATTTACAGGAAATACCATCATTTCTTACTCAGGGAACCACTTATCTAATACCGAAGGATCAAAATAACACCCAAGATCCAGCCAAGTACCGCCCAATTACTTGTCTTCCAACTTTGTACAAATTGGTCACATCCTGTGTGGCCCGGCGTATCTACCAACACTGTGCTCTGAACAATATCATAGAGCCCCAACAGAAAGGATGCGCTAAGGGCTCCATGGGATGTAAAGAACAACTTATTATCGACTCAGTCATTTCTAACCAGGCATACATCAAAAAACGAAACCTGTTTACTGCCTTCATTGACTACAAGAAGGCTTTTGACTCAGTGCCGCATGAGTGGCTTATAGATATATTGAAAATATATAAAGTCGATGATAATCTCGTGGCCTTTTTGAAGCATATAATGACAAAGTGGAAGACTAAAATTCACCTTCAAATACCTGGTGAAACCAATATCGAAACTGAAGATATCGCTATTAACCGGGGCCTTTTCCAGGGGGATTCGTTGAGTCCACTTTGGTTCTGCCTAGCGATGAACCCACTATCTCAGCTGCTGAACTCCACTGACTAAGGATTTAGCATCAAAAATAACAACACTGTTGTGGCGAAGCTTAATCATCTGTTGTATATGGATGATTTGAAACTAATGGCTTCCACTCGAAATCACTTAGATCAGATGCTAAAAACTGTAGAAACTTTCTCAAATGATATCAGTATGCATTTTGGACTAGACAAGTGCCGTATACTAAATATAGTCAGAGGAAAGGTTCAGCCCGGAGGTTTCGATATGCAAAATGGCCAAAACATCGAAGCAATGGGTGAAAATGATATTTACAAATATCTCGGAGTAAAACAGGCGCGGAAAATTGACCATAAACAGATGAAAACTGAACTAACTTCGGAGTTTGTGCGAAGAATAAGACAACTAAATCGGTCATATCTTAATAGTAAAAATTTGTTTAAGGCATTAAATACGTACGCCTGTTCCGCGCTGAGCTACTCATTTGGTATTATAAAGTGGTCAAAAACGGATATAGAGGGTCTTCAGCGGAAAGTAAGAACACTTCTCACAAAGGCGCAAAAACATCATCCACGCAGTGCAGTAGAGAGAACAACATTGCCGCGGTATCAAGGAGGAAGAGGACTTATGGATATAGGTGAGCAATTAGATAAACAAATTGCTAATTTAAGATCTTATTTTCAGGTACAGGCTGAGACATCTACTTTACATCGAGCAATTTGCGCAGTAAATGACACAACGCCGCTTAAACTGAGGGAACTAGAAATGCGCACAAACCATTTGACTAAGCAAGAAAAAATGCGCACCTGGATGAGTAAACCTCTGCATGGGCGACATCTCAATGAGATCAACCAAGAATATGTCGACCATACAGCGTCGAACTATTGGTTGACATCAGGAAAGATGTTTCCCGAGACTGAGGGTTTCCTACTTGCCATTCAGGATCAGGTTATTCCAACTAAAAATTACCTGAAATATATTGTTAAAGATCCTCAAGTCCAAAATGACAAATGCCGATATGGATGCCAAGCCCAAGAAACCATCCAACATCTTACCGTTGTAAGAAAAGACGCAAAACAAAACGCAAGACACAAAAAATAAAGCAAGAAACAAAAATAGAAAAATAAGAATAGGAACGTGGAATATCAAAACACTTCTAAGACCAGGCAAAATGGAGGAGTTGACAAAAGAAATGATAAAATACAAGATGGGAATACTAGCGCTACAAGAAATAAGGTGGGCAGGAGAAGGGATGATTGCTAGAAAAAATTACACAATGTACTACGCAGGAGAAAGCAAACAGGGGCGCAATGAAACTGCCTTTCTAGTTAGTAACAGCGTAAGAGACAAGATTATTAACTTTAAAGCGGTTGATGGATGAATATCATATATTAGAATGAAAAATAAACAAGCAAATTTAACATTTGTTAACATATATGCCCCTACTGAGAATGCTCCTGAAGAAGAAAAGAATGAATTCTATGATAAACTTGAAGAATTGTACGAAGAAATACCAAAGAACGACATACTAATCCTATTAGGAGACTTCAACGCAAAGATAGGGAAAGAAGACACGAACAGAGAAATCGCAGGAAAAGAAACAATCCATCAAAATACGAATAACAATGGCAGGAGAATATGTAATCTAGCAGCAGCAACCAATACTTTTATTATTAGCACTCAATTCAAGCACAAAAAAGAGCACAAAGTAACGTGGCTAATACCTGGAACAACAGATGGAAATCAAATAGACCACATACTAATCTCAAAAAAATGGGAGAACAATTTTTCAGAATGTAAGGTCTTACAGGGGAGCCAATGCTGATTCGGATCACATTTTGGTGATAGGCGACATGAAATTGAATATATATATATATATATATATGTATATATATATATATATGTATATATATATTATATATATATTATATATATATATATATATATATATATTATATATATATATATATATCGTCTGTGTCTTTCTAATACCTCGTAACCCCAAAATCGCGATTGTTCAGGAGACAAGAAAAACCGTTTTTAATTTTTGTGGAATGGTTGACGATTGATTTTTTTACATTTTCATTTGTTTTTAAAACTACCTTACATATCTTAAAAAAGAATTTTACTAATTTTTTAGTTTTTAGCCTTTTAATGTGGGTTACGAGTAAATCGTTTTCACGATGTTTTAAAAAATGTGGCTTACAAGGTATTTTCCTACATTGGTTCTATTACAATTTCCTATAATTAGATTACGTTTAGCCATCCTATTTTACGGAATTTGAAACGATAAATACTTTATTGCTTTTATTAATAAAAATATATTTTATGCAAACTGACAAAGAGAAATACAATGTGAACAAACTTAACATTATTTATCAAAATGAGGTAACGTATCATAAAATGTATGGCAGTCTACTGGAATTACTTCTTTCAGTTGTTGAAGATGACAATATTTTTCATATTTTATTTTCCTTCTCTCTTTGTTCATTTGAGGCCAAACAACCGGTAACTTAACAAGTTTTGGTCTTTGAGGTAGCAAACTCCAGTCATCGTCAAAGTTTAATTTATAGTAAATAGTTCCTTCTGGAACATACTTTAAGGCTCGTATATCATTTACTGTAGGATCGCCTGCTGTCTAAAAGTAAGAATTATCAAATAATAATAATAATAGTTTTAGAAATGTTTACATATTATTTATCACAACGTAGTAGGTAGGTACTCACTTTTCCAGGTCTAATTGATGAGTATCGATGATTCTTCTTTGAAGTGTAATCAAGAAAATCGGTATACTGCATTTGTTTGACTTCATATGGAAATGGATTCTTTCTTGCTCGTTTAGTTTCTCGTATAAAATCGCTTGGCAAATGAATGTCACGTCCCTTTAACTGCCTTTCGATACAACTATGGACCGAGTCACATTCCATTTGCGTGTGACCTACCTCTAAATACTTCTGCATAATTACAATCCGTTTTTCCACGGAATATTGCAAGAGTGCGTTTGACAACACCACATTTCGGTTCTGGTACGTGCATCCGTCGCTGTAAATTATCAAGCTACCCTTTACATTATGACAGTGCTTGGACAAATACTGTATTATACAAGTTGTGAAAGTAGAAGCAGTCATATCTGCTTCGACCTCTGTAAACCAAAAACAAGTACTATGATGACTAACTAAATCATACACAGTAAAGTTGTGGCATGATAATTTTGTTTTATAAAAAATTGCACTAGCTGTAACAAACGGGCAGACTTTAATGGCTTCTAAATCCATTGCCAATACGCATACACCAGATTCTTTATCTTTCTGCTTTTCCTCTCTTGCTCTATCCTTTTTTAGTATATGAAGTTGGTAGTCATCTTCTGCAAGCTGACCAACTTCATACTTTACACAAACGTCACATTTATCCTTCTTAATTGGATGAATTGACAAATTCATTAAATGAAATGTGTCACTAAAGACACTTCGCGACATCGGTTGTTGTTTTTCTTCTAAGCATTTGGTCTTGTATACTTCGTAAAGATGTTGTATATTACGAAACACGTCTTCCAGGTAAAGTTTCGAGGAATTGGCTCTTCCATAGTGTGATGGAAGTTTGGGTAAGCTATTAAAAAATTCAGTCATAAATAGCTTGCTTCCAGTTTGTACCTGTTTATTGGGCAATGTCTCTTCAATTTGTTTATTCGAATCGCTCATTCCATGCTTACCTTTCTTTACCCAATCCATAACGCAGTATTCACCTAAATCTAATGATTGTAAAAACATCTTTTTGCACACTTGTACTTTGGAGTTATTGATACTTAAATAGTAATTTAATGTGGTATGCCTGCGACTCAATTCACGTTGGGTATATACTCGTTTCCGGGGTACACTCATTACATGGTTAACAACATAAACTTTTCGTTGCTCCCAATTCATGGTATTCCAAAATGCTTTAAAAACTTCTACGCGCTGCTCTTGTGTTATTTGCGAACATTGCTTTGATTTAACTCTTAAACATTCTTTGGAAGTACAAGTTGGTCCAATTTGTCTTTCTTTTCTTTTAGCATCATTTGTTACTTTGCCGAGAACATTTCGGTAACCGATATAAGCCTTACCTTCCATTCTGAGTTGTTTGTTATGATTTTTAGCCCAGCTCTCAGGCTTCCGTTTACGGTTTCGTTTTCTTAACACTGTAGTTGCTTCTTTCTGAATATGTAGCTGCGTTAGATGTTCGTGATTATCCGAAAGAGTATGTTCGAGAGAGGCTGTAATAGGAGTAGGGTCTGTAATAATTTCAATTTGAAAATCATCAACGTCTCGACAAACTTCACTAAACAGAGGTGTTTCAATTATTACTGGTATATTATTAATATCAATAGTAGTAGTGCCTTCTGACTCATTACGGAAGTCATGCATCACAACTAAAAAGAAAAAAAAATAACAATAGGTAAAAGCTTCTACCTAGTCTTAAGTCGTAAATTTATTCTTCTATGTCGTATGTTCTTACCTTGTTCCAAAACAATATTATGTTCATCACACATTGGGAGTTCAACCTGTTGAACAGTGTCGATAGCAACATCAATAGTAATGGCGTTATTAGTTGAATCATGGTTAGCAACTAAAAAATTTATAAAAATAAACAATGACGTTCCCTTTAAATACTTATATAGCAGCAATTTTTCAGCTTAAATACTGCATTCCTACCTTTTTGAGAAGAGTTTATCAAATTTTCTACCAAGCAATTGTCTCCAACCTCCTCATTACACGCTGACTTGCTAATTGTGTCTGAAAGACTATGTGTTGACTCCGAACGAATATCTACAATATAAATAAATACTAAAGTTAACACATTTTAGCTGCCGCATGCAATTAATAAGTAAAATTAATTAGAAAGACAACGGAGTACTAAATACTAACAACACTTAAAGTATTACTTACCTAAACCAGTATCTGTGTCTATTAAAGCAAGGTCAACTAACTTACGGCCCCGTGAACACATTTTTGTAAAACTATAATCAACAGTATATTTATATTTTTATATTAAAAACAAAACAACAAATCGTAATGATGCACCTATGCATGTACACTAAAAGATAATCACAATCTATAGGTTAACTAACTAACAGTTGAGCGAATGACTGTACGCTAATATCTCGTAAGCCACAGAACCGAAATACTAAATGTGAATTAGGTGTCATGTTTGGGTTACGAGATTTTTAAAAAGGTGGGTTACGGGGTATTGCTATTCATACTCTCAGCAATGGGAATACGAGCTATTAGAAAACACATTTAATAATATAAATAATAAAGTATGGCTTACAAGGTTTTTTGTACAGGCGAGTTTAGCTTTACATTATACTAATATGTAAAAAACGCATTTTCCAATTTTTGTGGGTTACGAGGTATTAGAACGACACAGACGATATATATATATATATATATATATAATATATATATATAATATATATATATATATATATATAATGGTTATACACCCAGCGTGGGGTTAAACCGCAAATGCTTTCTAGATCCTATTTCTTAAGTGGATCAGTCTTTTTTTTGTTTATCTTATCTTCTTGACAATATCTCTCCATTTTTTCCTGTCTCTAGTTCTTCCTCTCCATTCACTGACTCCTGCCCTTTGGAGGTCTTCTTCAACTTCTTGCAGCCACTTTGATCTCGGTCTTCCCCTTCTCTTTCTTCCTCCTGGATTCCATTCTATCATTGCGTATGTCACTGCCTCATCGCCTGCTCGCCAAATGTGACCTAACCATCTAACTCTGCATTGCTTTATTTTAGTTACGATGTCTTCCTTAAGTTCTTCCTTAATTTCTGCATTTGTTCTGCTTCTATATTCATTTTGCTCTGTTCTGATTGGTCCTAGTATGGTTCTCATAATCTTTCTCTCTGCAATTCTTAAGTCTTCTTCATCTTTTTTAACCATCGTCATTGTTTCCCCTGCATATAATAATATTGGTCTAATTATGGTGTTATAAATGCTCATCTTGCTTTTTTTAGTCAGTGTTTTGCTTTTAAGTAATCTTTTGTTTGCAAAATAAGCTTTATTCGCTGCTAATATTTTTTCTTTTATTTCGGATTTCCTTTCTCCGGATTTACTTATTGTAACTCCTAGGTATTTGAAGTATTCTACTTCTTCAAACTCGGAACTTCCTATTTTGATTTTTTCCTTCATTGGTTTTTTCCCTAATCTTAAAATTTTTGTCTTTTCTTGATTTAATCTTAGCCCCATTACCTCCCCTTTCTCTCTTATTTCTTCAAGCATTTCTTTCATTATTTTTCTGTTCTTTGCAATAATAGCAATATCATCTGCATATGCAATTATTTGACCACCTCTTGTTCTGAGATTTCCTTTATTTATATTTCGCAGTACATATTCTAATGCTAGATTAAATAGCGTTGTTGATAAGGCATCTCCTTGTTTCATCCCTTTATTTATACTGAATTCTTCTGTCTCTCCTCTTTGTGTCTTTATGCTTATTTTTGTAGTTCTCATTGTCATTTCTATTAATTTTCTGAGTTTATGTGGAATTTTTAATTTTTTAAGTGCTGTCATTAATACGTTTCTTTTAATTGAATCAAATGCCTGTTTGAAGTCTATGAATAACATTTCCAATTCTAATTTATACTCGTTTGCTTTTTCCATTATTTGTTTTATTGTGTGTATTGCATCTATTGTAGATCTTCCTTCTGTGAATCCACATTGGTACTGTCCTACTGTCTTCTTTGTGATCTTTGATAACCTCTTTTTATTATTGATGTCAATATTTTATATGTTGTATTTAGTAATGTTATTCCTGTATAATTTTCACAGATTTGTTGGTCTCCCTTTTTATGTACTGTTATGATCTGTCCTACCTCCCAGTCACCTGTCATTTTCTCTTCTCTCTATATATTTTTCAATAGTGCCAGTATTTTTCCTCTTAGTTCCCTTCCCCCGTATTTTATTAGTTCCATATTAATTCCATCTTTACCTGGGGCTTTTCCATTTTTGCTTCTCTGTATTACTTCATCCAATTCCTCTAATGTTGGTTCTTTTGAAATTTCGATGTCTACTTCATTTGCTTCTTCTTCGTGTATTGTTTCCTCCTCGTCATGCATTTCTTCTTCTGTTGTTTCCTCCGTCAAGAGCTCTCTGTAGTAATCTCTCCATACTTGCTTGTATTCTTGGTCCTCTATTATCACTATTCCCTCTCTATTTTTTATTCCGTTTGTTTTGCCCTTGTATTTTTTGTTTTGTTCTTTAATCTTTTTGTAAAAACTTTTCGTATTTCTGTTTGTTCTTTCCTGCTCTATTTCCTGCATTTTTTTGTCTACCCATCTTCTTTTATTTTGCCTTATCACTTTCTTAGCATTCCTTCTTAATTTTTCATATTCTTCTCTGTCTTCCTCTTTATCTGTTCTTAGCCATTTATTTCTGGCTTGCACTTTTTTTCCTGTTATTTCTCTACATTCTGGTTATACCATTCGTTTCTTGTTTTAGCCTGACTTTTACCTATCTGCATATTTGCACCTTCTTCTATTGATTTTTTGATCGTCTCCCATTCTGTGCTTATATCTTGTACTTTATATTTCTCTTTTATTTGAACTGTTACTACCTCTTCATATTTTTTTTCTTACTTCTTCATTACTCAATTTATTGACATTCCACTTTTTATGTTGGTTTTTTTGTTTTGTTTAAATTTTAACTTTTTGTCTTATAATGGCTGTGACCATGTAGTGGTCTGAATCTGCACACGCACCTCTGAACGTTCTTACATCTTTTATTGACGATTGTTTTCGTTTATTAATCACTATGTGATCAATTTGACTATATGTTTTCTGATCCGGTGACCTCCATGTTACCTTATGTATTTTAGAGTGTTCAAATTTTGTCGAGCTTATTAACAAATTTGTTCTTGTTGCTAGGTTACATAGTCTTTGCCCATTGTCATTCGTGTTTTCGTGTATTGTATGCTTTCCTGCAATTTGCTGTAAAAAGTCCTCTTTTCCAATCTGGGCGTTGAGGTCTCCCAGTACAAATGTGACATCTTCTTTGGGTATTTTTTCTATCTTCTCTTCCACCTTATCATAAAAGATTTCTTTTTCGTCTGCATTGCTTGTTTCTGTGGGGGCGTATAAATTCAAGACTGATATATTAAATGGTTTGCTGTTGACTCTAACATAGGCCATCCTTTCGCATATTGGCTTGAAATTTATAATTTTCTCTCTTAGGTGACTAAGTATCATGAATCCCACGCCTTTTTGCCCTTGCTTCTTTCCTCCTGAATATAACATTGTAAAGTCTTGTTTGTCAATCTGTCCCTGTCCCTCCCAGCGTAATTATTGCAGTGCTGCAATATTTATTTTATACTTTTTGAGTTCCTTTCCTATTTCTAGCATTTTTCCTGGAGTTTCCTTTTTTGTTCTGTTGTCTTCGTCCTTTATTTTTGTTTTCTTGTCCATTTTTCTTTATTTCACTTTTGTTGTGTCCGGGTTTATCTGCAGTTATTTCCTGTTTCTTTGCCTCGTCCGTCAACGAATAATGTATCCTCTCATCCCTTGCTAGTTTTTTGAACTACCTCCATGATGGTCCTCCAGCTGGTTGGTGTTTCTATCCCATCTCCTTTCTAGACCATCTATTATAAGTTTGTTGGCTTTAATTTGGACACGTTTACCTTTCTTTATTACATCTTTTGCTATTCTTCGTATTTCCCTCTGTATTTGTAATTCCTCTGTCGTTAGATCATTGTTTATATATATTTTTTCTTTTTTCACTTCTTTAAGTTTACTTTTGTTTTCCATAATTTTTGTTTTTTCTTCTTTGTTTGGCAATCTGACTAAACATGTTTTATCTCCTAGTTTTACTGCTTCATCTATATTTACGGTAATATTTAGCTCTTTTGTCATAAAATTTTCTATCACTTCTTTTAGTATTCTTCTATCTCCAGTTTCTATTGTCATTCCCTGTATTATTACATTATTTTCTTTTCCTATTCTACCCAGCCTTTTAAGGCGTCCTTTTGTCTCATTCAGATCCTTTTTGATTTGTTCATTTTCTTTCCAGATTTTACTATTCTCTTGTTTTAGTTCTGCTAGTTCAGTTTTGAGTTCCCTCATTTCTTCTTTGTATTGTTTTTGTTCCGTTTTTACTTCTTTTATATCAGTTTTTAATTCTTGTACTTCTATTGTTAAATTTTTTATCATATTTAGTATTTGATCTATTTTGTTTTCATCTTTGTGACTTTTAATTGGGCTTCTTTGTACTTTTTTACTGGGACCAAATAATAGTTCCTCTTCTTCTCTATTTCTTTTCCGATTGTCATCGGATGTATTATCACCTGAATCCATATTTCTGCTGCTACTACTCGCGATAGAGCCAACCTCCCCACTCAACGCGTCGAAGGAAGATAGTTCTCTCAAGTAGTAGCTTGTAGTAATTTATTTTCTCGTTTTCTTCCTGGATAAATTAATTTTCAATTAAAATAATTGTCAGATACTTTGGAACGGTTTGATGTGGCAACGCCCACCTCTAGCTTTTAAAACTGATATATAGTGTTAAATTACCTGGGCCGGTTTTGTTTTTAGTTTTTTGTGTTGAGAGTAAATAAAATTTCCTTCGCCTTCCTAAATTTATCGATGTTATGCACTTACCTCTCTTCCAATGTCTTTGCTATAATTACCCTTAACACTTTTATTCTTGTATTACACACTGCACGCAAAATCAGCAAAATTATCGACTCACAATAACCAAAAATTGAAATTAATATGGAGCAGAATTTACACACCGAAATTGAAGATACTTAAAGATAAAAACGACAGAAAGAAAAGAAAGAGGTGGAATCGGTCGAAACTAAATACAGATAATGCAAACAGAAAATTCTGCACTAACTTGGAAGAAAAAATACTAGTCCTAAAACCATCGAACATAGATAAAACATGGGAAGACATAAAAGATAGTATCTTAACAACAGCAGAGGAGGCGATAGGACTAATGGAAAA